TCTCCTCCTTTCTCCTCTCTCCTTCCTCCTCCCTCCATTCTTCCCTCCCCCCCTTTCTTCTCCCTCTCCTTCCCCCCCCCCCGCCCCCCCCCCATCCCCCCTCCCCGGCCCAAGGGTAATTGGCTTGCCTCTACTCTTTCCCCCCTCTCTCCTCCCCCCCCCCCCCCTCTCTCTTCCTCCCCTTCTGTATCACCGCCCACATAAGACTTTGACGATCTGTCCCTATCGAACCCGATAAACGGCCGACCGAAGAGCCCCAGACGTCCTCTCCTTCATATCTCTCCCCTCACCTCCCCTCCCGCCCCCCTCCATCCCTCCCTCCCTCCAAACCTTCCTCCCTCCCTTCCTCTCTTTCCTTCTTTCCCTTTCTTCATTTCCTCCCCCTTCCTTTCCTTCCCCCCCCCCTTCTTCCATCCCCCTCCTTCCTCTTTCCCTCCTTCCTTCCTCTCTCTCTACCACACACCCTTGTGGGTTACTTTCAGAGATTCATTTCTTGAAGTAATTTTCTGTGTGGAAACTTTAAGACTTGCACCGGGATTGTGGAGCAGCAGGCTGAGTATCAGCTGCATTAAGATCACTCCAACCAAAAGGTCATGAGTTCGAAGCCAGCCCAAGTTGGAGTGGGTTTCCAACCAATTATGTGTAGCCTGTTGTCGACCTTTGCAATCCGAAAGACAGTTGCATCTGTCAAGCAGGAAAATAAGGTACCACCTTAAAAGTATGGGGAGGCTAAATTAACTGATTTATGAGGCCATAAAGAAGACTCCAGCAAAGCATTCCAGTGGGGAAGCATGCAGGAATGCGGAAGTGCTTCATCAGCGTCACAGATGAACGATGAAAGCGACAGCTCCACAGCGGCCAGAAAAAAGTTAAATAGCCTCTGTCTATGTCTGCATATGTTGTATGTCAAAATTGACATTGAATGTTTGCCATATATGTGTACATTGTAATCCGCCCTGAGTCCCCTGCGGGGTGAGAAGGGCGGAATATAAAAGCTGTATATAAATAAATAAATAACCCAGATGTTTTTAAGATCTCTTCTCAAACGTAACCACAAGCTTTGTATGCCAGATTTTTACTGAAACCATCAAGCTTTTGTACCTGAAATATCCAAGTCTGTTCAATAAAAGTTCTTGTTATTTTTACCAACTTATACCAGCCTCAGTATGAATACCTTTGTGGTAAAAGTGTTATTCAAGTCAGCTTTTTACCAGCCTCCAAGAAAACTAGAGTAACACAGAGTGTGTTACTGAATAACCTCTCAATATTACCTCAGCCTGTTCTTTAGTAATATGGTGGCAGCGGAAATATTTTAAAGAATCATTTTTAAGTCTTTCAGTTCCAGTGATTCCCAGTTCCTATCTTCTAAATATACAGTTGTTTTCAACAACCATTACTCCCTCTATACTTTGGTGAGCTAATCTGTAGTGGTGTCATCGTTTATAATTTGGTGAGCAGCTGTGTGATTGTTATAATTTTAGTGAAGCAGCGTTGGGATTTTTAGTATCGAATAAAGTTCCCTACTTTTCCCCTTCGATTGTTATAATTTGGTGGTACAGCGGTGCGATTCGTTATAGATGCCCTGTGAATGCTGTGCCTTAACTTTGCCATAAGTTGGAAGTGGTTATTACCAAACAATTTTATTGATTAGCCAGTTGGCCTTATCAAAAAACAGACAGTGCAAACACAACATACAACATACATCTAGTCCTCTTAAAATAAAATACAAATATACAGATATTTGTCAGCTTGAAACCAATATAGCTTAAGTTGGAAATGACTTGAAGGCGCACAACACTATTATTATTATTATTATTATTATTATTATTATTATTATTATTATTATCTTTATTTGTGCCCCGCTAACATCTCCCGAAGGACTCGGTGCGGCTTACAAAGGCCAAGGCCCTCAATAAAACAACAGCATAACAAAAACAACAATAAAACTCAAAAAGCAAATCAAAAAACATTAAAGCAATAACAGTAAACATTAAACAATAACATCGTGACACATTTAAAAAACTAAGGGCCGGGCCAAATGCAATGAATAAGATTAAAAGTGCTGGACATGACAGGTGAAATGTAAGGATTTTAGAGTAGGTGCGATGTGCAGACAATCTTAAATCTCTAATAAAGTGCGTTTGGGACATGATGCTGGGAGTTTCCTATTCTGGAAAGGCACACTGGAAGAGCCAGGTTTTCAAGCTCTTCCTAAAGACAGCCAACATTGGGGCTTGTCTGATGTCCTTGGGGAGAGAGTTCCAGAGTCGGGGGGCCACCACGGAGAAGGCCCTGTCGCTCGTCCCCACCAAACGCGCTTGCGACGCAGGTGGAATCGTGAGCAGGGCCTCTCCAGATGAACGGAGGGATCGTGTGGGTTCATATACGGAGATGTGGTCACGCAGGTGGGCGGGTCCCAAACCGTTTAGGGCTTTGTAGGTGAACACTTGCACCTTGAATTGGGACCGGAAAATGGACGGCAGCCAATGGAGCTCCTTAAACAGGAGGGTTGACCTCTCTCTGTAAGGAGCACCAGTTAACAACCTGGCCGCCACCTGTTGGACCAGTTGGAATTTCCGAGCCATTTTCAAGAGCAGCCCCACGTAGAGCGCATTACAGTAGTCCAATTTAGAGGTGACCAAGGCATGGACCACCCGGGCCAGATCAGCCTTTACGAGGTACGGTCTTAGGTCTTAGGTGATATTAACAGGATGCCAGTCTAGGCATGCACAAGATATCTTCTTACCATATTCTGCTGACAGAGGCGGTAGAACTGTTGGAATTTCTGGTTCATCAAGAGCTGGGCACTGCCCACTGCACTTCGGATCTTCTCAAGGACTGAGGAGACGGACAGAAGAAGCAAGGTCAGTCATGAAATGGCCTTTTATTATTATTATTTCAAGTCATTCTCAACATTGGAGCACCTCTGCCAGTTTTTCAAGTTTGAGAGTCACACTAGGAATACTACTAAATATACTTTTCCATCTAAACATTTATTTATTTATTTATTTATTTATTTATTTATTTATTATTTAACTTATATGCCGCCACTCCCCTGGGGCTCGGAGCGGCTTACAAGAATAGCTAAAATCTAACAAAATTTAAAAGCAATTTAAAACAATTTAAAAACAGCAATATCAAACATTAAAAGCCTGTCGAACAGGTATGTCTTACATGCCCTGCGGAAAGCTGGTAAGTCCCGCAAGGCACGGACTTCGGGTGGCAGAGTATTCCAGAGTGATGGTGCCACTGCTGTGAAGGCTCTGCGTCTGGTTGCTGTTAGACGCAAGGTCTTGACACTGGGAATTTCCAATAGATCTTGGTCCTCAGAATGGAGGGATCTCTGGGGTTGGTAGGGGGTGAGGCGGTCCCTCAGTACATCGGCCCCAGACCATGCAAGGCCTTAAAGGTGAGTACCATCACTTTGAAAGTGATCCGGTGCTCAATTGGTAACCAATGCAGCTGTGAGTAAGATTGGTGTTATGTGGCATCTCATCGGAATTCCCGCAAGAAGCCGAGCAGCTGCATTTTGTACCAACTTGAGCTTCCGGATCACTGAAAGAGGAAGGCCAATGTAGAGGGCGTTACAGTAGTCCAGTCTTGAGATGACCGTGGCCTGGATCACCGTAGCTAGGTCATCCCTGGACAGGTAGGGGACCAGCCGTCTAGCCTGCCGCAGAGGAAAAAAGGCGGTTCTGCTAACGGCGGAGACCTGGGCCTCCATCGTCAGCAGAGGGTCCAAAAGGACTCCCAGACTCTTTACCAATGATGACGGCCGTAGCGCCTCGCCATCCAGGGTAGGCAGCTGGATATCCTCACTGCTCGGTTGACCTAGCCATAGGATCTCCGTCTTTGCTGGATTCACCCTCAACCTGCTGGCACGCAGCCATCCAGTAACAGCCTCAAGGCACTGATGGAAACAATCGGATACAGAGTCCGGTCGGCCTTCCATCTTCAGCACCAGCTGAGTGTCATCGGCGTACTGGTAACACTCAAGCCCAAAACCTCGAACCAGCTGAGCAAGTGATCGCATATAGATGTTAAACAACAGGGGGAGAGAATGGCCCCCTGAGGAACCCCACAAGATAGAGGAGACCTCTCAGAGACCAGGCCTCCCCTCTCCACTCGCTGTCCATGGTGGTGAAGAAAGGAGGACAGCCAGTTTAAAGCTGTCCCCCTGACTCCAACAGCAGCAAGGCGGTGGGTCAAAAGATTGTGGTCAACTGTGTCAAATGCTGCTGTGAGATCCAATAACACAAGCAGTGCTGACCTGCCCTGGTCAAGCTGGCATCGAAGTGATCCGTGATGGAGACCAGCACAGTCTCTGTCCCGTGCCCCGCACGGAAGCCGGACTGGAAGGAACATGTAGTTAAAACAACGACAACAACAAAAATCCAGGATGCTATTTATCCATCCCTTTTATTTATGTATGTCTCACACTTTGGTTCAGAAAGCCCAAGATGTTTAACAGTCTTTGGAAACCCAATGCCAAATGCAATCATCTTAGGTGTAATATCCCACTGTGGTTGATGATACGGAAAACCACTAAGAGACTGAAGAGAATGAAGAGAAAAATAAAGAACTTTATAGGCTGTTGTGTGTTTTCCAAGCTGTATGGCCATATTCCAGAAGCATTCTGTCCTGACATTTTGCCTGCATCTATGGCAGGCATCCTCAGAGGTTGTGAGGTCCTCACAACCTTTGAGGATGCCTGCCATAGATGCAGGAGAAACGTCAAAAGAGAAGAGAACATGGTCATACAGCCTGGAAAACACACAACAACCCAATGATTCCGGCCATGAAAGCCTTCGACAATACAATAACTTTATTCTCCTGAGTAACGTTATTCATCAGGGCAATACAGGTTGTTTCAGGGCTGTTTCTAGACCTGGATCCAGATTGTTTCACCTGGGAACACCTGAAACTTGAGGAACACCTCAGTTGCCTTGCTCAGGAAGGGAGATTTGCAACCAGGAGGTAAAAGTTCAGGCCCCAGAGGAGGAGTGGACAAAATGTATTCTCCAAATACATCTTTAAAGTTTGGACTAAACCCAAGTGGATTCACACACCACTGACACAGAAGCATGCTGGTGTTGAGAGGAAAGATGGCAGGTGAGATGGCAGGTGAGATCCCACCAACCAAGCACTTTTCCAAGTGAGAGACAAAGAGAGAGACAGAGAGTGTTAGTTATCAAATAACACTGCTGATCTGCTATATTCCACACCAACTCCAGGACAACATCTATGGAAACCTGGGATTTGCATTTTAAAGGAATGCTCAGCCAGAGAGCTCTTGGTCCTCACTAAACAACAAACTCAAGAAGTCCATAGGATGTTGCAATGTGTGTTAAAGTGGATCATAGCATTATAACAGCATAGTAAAGGTAAAGGTTTCCCCTGATATTTAGTCTAGTCATGTCTGAATCTAGTGCTCACCTCCATTTCTAAGCCGAAGAGCCGGCGTTGTTCGTAGACACCTCTAAGTTCATGTGGCCAGCATGACTGCATGGAGTGCCATTACCTTCCCGCCAAAGCAGTACCTATTGATCTACTCTCTTTTGCATGTTTGATCTACTCACTCCAGGGAGTGGAGTGAGTTCCCACTGTTAGGCCCAGCTTCTGCCAACTGCTAGGTTGGCAGAAACTGGGCCTAACAGTGGGAACTCACTCCACTCCCTGGATTCAAACTGCTGGCCTTTCGGTCAGCAAGTTCAGCAGCTTACCTTCTCGCAGAAGCAGAATCTATTGATCTACTCACATTTGCATGTTTTCGGATTGCTAGGTTTGCAGAAGCTTGGCCTAACAGCAGGAGCTCACCCTGCTCCCGGGTTCGAACCGCCAATCTTTCAGTCAGCAAGTTCAGCAGCTTACCTTCCCGCATAAGCGGTATCTATTGATCTACTCACATTTGCATGTTTTCGAATTGCTAGGTTGGCAGAAGCTGGGCCTAATAGCAGGAGTTCACCCCGCTCCCCAGATTCGAACTGGCAACCTTTCAGTCAGCAAGTTCAGCAGCTTACCTTCCCGCATAAGCGGTATCTATTGATCTACTCACATTTGCATGTTTTCGAATTGCTAGGTTGGCAGAAGCTGGGCCTAACAGCAGGAGTTCACCCCGCTCCCCGGATTCGAACCGCCAACCTTTCAGTCAGCAAGTACAGCAGCTTACCTTCCCGCATAAGCGGCATCTATTGATCTACTCATGTTTTGCATGTTTTTGAACTGCTAGGTTGGCAGAAGCTGGGCCTAACAGTGGGAACTCACTCCACTCCCTGGATTCGAACTGCTAACCTTTCGGTCAGCAAGTTCAGCAGCTTACCTTCCCGCATAAGCGGTATCTATTGATCTACTCACATTTGCATGTTTTCGAATTGCTAGGTTGGCAGAAGCTGGGCCTAACAGCAGGGGCTCACCCTGCTCCTGGGATTCGAACCGCCAACCTTTCGGTCAGCAAGTTCAGCAGCTTACATTTCGCAGAAGCGGTATCTATTGATCTACTCACTTTTGCATGTTTTCGAACTGCTAGGTTGGCAGAGGCTGGGCCTAAGAGTGGGAGCTCACGCCACTCCCTGGATTCGAACCGCCAACCTTTCAGTCAGCAAGTTCAGCAGCTTACCTTCCCGCAGAAGTGGTATCTATTGATCTACTCACTTTTGCATGTTTTTGAATTGCTAGGTTGGCAGAAGCTGGGACTAACAGTGGGAGCTCACCCTGCTTCTCGGATTCGAACCGCCAACCCTTCTGTCAGCAAGTTCAGCAGCTCAGTGGTTTAATCCGCTGCACCACCAGGGGGCCCTTTTATAATAGCATAGTGTGATTACGAATGAGAGAGGGATGGAGAAGGTGCAACTACGCTATAGAAATAATGCAGTTTAATTGCCATGGCTCAATGCTATAGAATCATGGAAGTTGTAGCTCTACAGGCTCTTTAGCTTGCTTTGTCAAAGAGTTCTGATGACTCACCAAACTATCAATCTCAAAATTTCATATTCTTGAGCAATGACAAAGTGGTGTCAAACAGCATTAATTCTGCAGTGTAGATACAACTTGAGAAAGAATAAGAGAGGGAGAGGGAGGGAGAGGAAACTCACTTTCTTCTGGTAAGTCATAATCTTCAGCCTCCAATTCCATCTGCTGGCACCAGCCTTCCATCTTCTCGACTTCTGCCTGCAGGAGCTTGATGAACCACTCGCCGTCCCGGTGGCAAGGTGATGCTCGGCCAGAATCTGGCAGGCTGCGCGAGCCCCGATCCATCCAGGAATTCTGGCGGGGCACTTCCATGGTGTCGTACTGCATCTGGTAGTCTTCTCTGTAGGCCCACTGGCCTTGCGTATGCACCGTCTTGTAGACCGAGTATTGCCGTGTGGACTCGGGCTCCGAGGAATGGCGCTGGAAGGAGCGTCCAAACTGCAGGGCCTTGTCTTCGGTGGCCACAGCCAGCCCAGCCAGGCCTTCCAGCTCCAGGTCAGCCTGCACACCAGCCGTCACGCTGTTGGACCGCTTGAACCGAGAACGCCTGGGGCAAGGAGGAAAGACGTTTAGGGTGCCTTCTACTTTATTTATTTTATGTTTTTCATACATTTATATATGGCAAAAATTTAATGGCTCACAATATATAAAAAACTAGTATAAAAGCAAACTGTAGCATATAACTATAAATTAAAATTGAACCATATTAAATAGAGAAACATAATCTAGACCAGGGGTCCTCAAACTATGGCCCAGGGGCCAGATACGGCCCTCCAAGGTCATTTACCCGGCCCTCGATCAGGGTCAACCTAAGTCTGAAACGACTTGAAAGCACAGAACAACAACAACAATCCTATTGCATCAGCCAAATGCAGGCACACACTTCCCATTGAAATACTAATACGGTTACCGTATATTCTGATGTATAAGACTATTTTTTAACCCAAGAAAATTTATTATTCATTTACGAAATTTATATGCTGCCGTTTTCACCCCAAAGGGGACTCAGAGTGGCTTACAAGATATATATACATACAATATATTATATTATTAGCATAGTACAATATCAGTATTAAATATTACTATATTGTATTATACCATTAAAGGTAAAGGTAGTCCCCTGACATTAAGTCCAGTCATGTCTGACTCTGGGGTGTGGTGCTCATCTCCATTTCTAAGCCGAAGAGCCAGCATTGTCCGTAGACACCTCCAAGGTCATGTGGCCAGCATGACTGCATGGAGCGCCGTTACCTTCCCGCCGGAGCGGTACCTATTGATCTACTCACATTTGCATGTTTTCGAACTGCTAGGTTGGCAGAAGCTAGGGTTGACAGTGGAAGCTCATGCCGCTCCCCGGAATCGAACCTGTGACCTTTCGATCAACAAGCTCAGCAGCTCAGTGCTTTAACCCACTGTAATATTATTAGTAACATTACATTAATAATAATAATAATAATAATAATAATAATAATAATCTTTATTTATACCCCGCCACCATCTCCCGGCTGAGGACTCGGGGTGGCTTACATGAGGCCAAGCCCAGACAACAAATTACAGCAGAATAAAACTGAAAACGCAAACAATAAACAACAACATCATAATTGCATCACACATATAACAATATAAAATTACAATAAGCACAATATATAGTTATAATATATTATTATTATTAGTATTATATTGCATTACATTATAATATTATAAATATCATATGTATATACAATATATTATATTCCATTATATTATATTATAAACATAGCACAGGAGACAAGGTGGAACTGTCTTCTGCCCCCCTCTCTCTTCACTCTGGTCCATGTGAGTTGTGTGCATTGAGCGATGGCACCTGGTCATTGACATGTGTTGTGTCTCCTATGCACTAAAGGGTCTTGGACATCTTATACCTTACATTATACGTGTGTGCTGTGTGCACTGAGCGATGGCACCTGGTCATTGACATGTGTTGTGTCTCCTATGCACTAAAGGGTCTTGGACATCTTATATCTTACATTATACGTGTGTGTTGTGTGCACTGAGCGATGGCACCTGGTCATTGACATGTATTGTGTCTCCTATGCACTAAAGGGTCTTGGACATCTTATACCTTACATTATACGTGTGTGTTGTGTGCAGTGAGCGATGGCACCTGGTCATTGACATGTATTGTGTCTCCTATGCACTAAAGGGTCTTGGACATCTTATACCTTACATTATACGTGTGTGCTGTGTGCACTGAGCGATGGCACCTGGTCATTGACATGTGTTGTGTCTCCTATGCACTAAAGGGTCTTGGACATCTTATACCTTACATTATATGTGTGTGTTGTGTGCACTGAGCGATGGCACCTGGCTATTGACATGTGCTGTGCAATGTTGCTATTCTGCATGCAGATTGTGTAGCACTAATGCAGTTCACCTCTGCATGCAGATGTTCCCGCAATGCTGGAGGGCTGTTGGTTTGCGGACTTTGTCTGTGGAGGAAGCCAAGCCTAGACCTTTTCTTCGTTCCGATTTACATAAAAACCCTCCCCACTATAATCAATCCATATTTTTATTTATTTGTCGTGTCAGAACAGCCAGTCCATTATATTACATTTCTAACAGAACAAAGCAAACAAACAGAAAAATACACAACTTGTGAGTTTGGTAGCTGGTTAAATGTCCTTTGACCAGTATCTGGCCACTTGGAGTGCTTCTGGTGTTGCTGCAAGAAGGTCCTCCATTGTGCATGTGGCAGGGCTCAGGTTGCATTGCAGCAGGTGGTCAGTGGTTTGTTCTTCTCCACACTCGCATGTCGTGGATTCTACTTTGTAGCCCCATTTCTGAAGGTTGGCTCTGCATCTTGTGGTGCCATAGCGCAGTCTGTTCAGTGCCCTCCAAGTCGCCCAGTCTTCTGTGTGCCCAGGAGGGAGTCTCTCATTTGGTATCAGCCATTGGTTGAGGTGCTGGGTTTGAGCCTGCCACTTTTGGACTCTCGCTTGCTGAGGTGTTCCAGCGAGTGTCTCTGTAGATCTTAGAAAACTATGTCTAGATTTAAGTCGTTGACGTGCTGGCTGATACCCAAACAGGGGATGAGCTGGAGATGTCTCTGCCTTGGTCCTTTCACTATTGGCTGCTACTTCCCGGCGGATGTCAGGTGGTGCAATACCAGCTAAGCAGTGTAATTTCTCCAGTGGTGTAGGGCGCAGACACCGCATGTCTCATTACGAGCCACATCCACTGTTTTAGTGTGGTGAGATGTGTTCCACACTGGGCATGCATACTCAGCAGCACATTATATACTGTGACTTTCTTCCAAAACATGGAAACCAAAGAGGCTGGGGGATTTAACCACTGTCCTCCAACAGTAACAGGCAATGGATGCAATCCATCAGATTTTGAAGTCCAATTGAACCATCTGTCTTGAAGATCCTGGCTGAGATGGATGGGAGTTGCAGTCCAACCACATCAGAGGTCTAAGGACACACGTTCCGCATGCATAAGAGCCAGCGTCAGGAGTCTTTGCACGTGCGGTAAGCTAGCTTTAGGAATGTCAGAGAGCCGGCATCTCTCTTTGAATCCCTAGAGATGAGAGATTGTCTGTGTATGTAGGAGAGCGCATGGAAAAGTCAGACAAGCTGAGGCATCCCTGAATTCTTTTGGTGGCACTGCCTGCTCCCTCCTTCCCTCCCGCCCTCCTGTTCCCGTCTCTGTTTCTATGGCAACCAGCAGCGGATGGATGCTGGGATGGATGCTGAAGGACCAAAGAGAGCGGAAGGAGGGGAAAGAGCAGGAGAGATCAAGATAGGCGAGAGAGAGAGTAATCCCAAAGAAAAGAAAAGAGGACCATCCACGACTTGAATGAAGACATGGGACGTTCAGGGTGGTAGTCCCACCATGTCCTTTATGTATCTGTGAACTGAACGGCAGGAAAATGAAGTTTGATTTTACTTGCTGGGGATCTTTCAAGGAATTTTGGAGAGGGGTGCCCATCCCATAAGCCGAACACACACACAAACACAAAAGGGTAGGCTTTCTTTGAGAGATACTGGGGCGTAGTGGTTTGAGTGTTGGGCAATGACTCTGGAGAGCAGGGTTTGAGTCCTGTCTTGGTCATGGAAACCCACTGGGTGACTTTGCATGAGTCACATACTCTCAGCTCCAGAAAACCCCACCATAGGTTTGCCTTAAGGTAAAGGTAAAGGATTTCCCCTGACATTTAAGTCCAGTCGTGTCCGACTCTGGGGTTGGTGTTCATCTCCATTTCTAAGACGAAGAGCCAGCGTTGTCTGTAGACACCTCCAAGGTCATGTGGCCAGCATGACTGCATGGAATGCCGTTACCTTCCTGCCGGAGTGGTACCTATTGATCTACTCACATTTGCATGTTTTCAAATTGCTAGGTTGGCAGAAGCTGGAGCTGACAACAGAAGCTCACGCTGCTTTCCAGATTCGAACCTGCGACCTTTCATAGAATCATAAAATCATAGAATCAAAGAGTTGGAAGAGACCTCATGGGCCATCCAGTCCAACCCCCTGCCAAGAAGCAGGAATATTGCATTCAAATCACCCCTGACAGATGGCCATCCAGCCCCTGTTTAAAAGCTTCCAAAGAAGGAGCCTCCACCACACTCCAGGGCAGAGAGTTCCACTGCTGAACGGCTCTCACAGTCAGGAAGTTCTTCCTCATGTTCAGATGGAATCTCCTCTCTTGTAGTTTGAAGCTATTGTTCCGCATCCTAGTTTCCAAGGAAGCAGAAAACAAGCTTGCTCCCTCTTCCCTGTGACTTCCTCTCACATATTTATACATGGCTATCATATCTCAGCCTTCTCTTCTTCAGACTAAACATGCTCAGCTCCTTAAGCCCCTCCTCATAGGGCTTGTTCTCCAGACCCTTGATCATTTTAGTCGCCCTCCTCTGGAGTCATTCCAGCTTGTCAATATCGCTCTTGAATTGTAGTGCCCAGAATTGGACACGATATTCCAGGTGTGGTCATCTTCATTTCTAAGCCGAAGAGCCAGTGCCGTCTGTAAACACCTCCAAGGTAATGTGGCCAGCATGACTGCATGGAGTGCCGTTACCTTCCCGCTGGAGTGGTACCTACTGATCTACTCACATTTGCATGTTTTCAAACTGCTAGGTTGGCAAAAGCTGGAGCTCACAGCAGAAGCTCACACTGCTGCCAGATTCGAACCTGCGACCTTTCGGTCAGCAAGTTCAGCAGCTCAGCAGTTAAACCCACTGCGCCACTGGGGGCTCCCTTAGGTTTGCCTTAGGGCTGCCTTAAGTTGTCATGCAACAACAACAACAACAACAACAACAAGGCTTTCATAATAACTCTAGGGTGCTGATGGACCAAAGAGAGAGGAAGGAGTCACAGAAGACTCAGGAAGGAGTCTTGCTCATAGAAACCCACTGGGTGACTTTGCATGAGTCACACACTCTCAGCCCCGGACAAGCCCACCATAGCTTTGCCTTAGGGCTGGCTTAAGTTGTCATGCAACAACAACAACAACAACAAGGCTTTCATAATAACTCTAGGATGCTGATGGACCAAAGAGAGAGGAAGG